TGGCTATTGTAAATGGTATTGCTTTCCTAATGTCCTTTTCAATGCTGTTGTTTTTGGTATAGAGGAATCGAACTGATTTTTGTATGTTGATCTTATATCCTGCCAATTTGCTGAATCTTCCAATGAGGTCTAGTAGCTTTTTAACTGAGTCTTTGGGGTTTTCTATGTACAGGATCATATAATCTGCAAATAAAGTTTTACTTCCTCTTTGCCAGTTTGGATGCTTTAATTTCCCTGTCTTGCTGTATAGCTCTTGCTAAGACTTCCAGCACAATATTGAATAGAAGTGGTGAAAAAGGGCATCCTTAGGTGGTTCCTGTTCACAGAGGGAAGACTTTCAGTTTCTCTCCATTGAGAGTAATATATGCTGTTGGTTTTGTATATATGCTCTTAATTATGTTGAGGAATTTCCCTTCAATTCCTATTTTGTTGAGAGTTTTTATCAGGAATGGATGCTGGATTTTGTCAAATGCCTTTTCTGCATCAATCAATATGATCATGTGGTTCTTTCCTTTTTTCTTATTTATATGGTGGGTGACACATTGATAGTTTTTTTAATGTTGAGCCATCCTTGCATCCCTGATATGAATCCCATTTGATCATAATGTATTATCTTTTTGGTGTGCTGCTGGATTCTGTTGGCTAGGATTTCGTTGAGAATTTTTGTATCTATATTCAAGAGGGATATTGGTTTATAATTTTCTTTCTTAGTGACATCCTTCCCTGGTTTCGGTATGAGGGTTATGCTTGCTTCATAAAACGTATTGGGAAGTTTTCCCTCCTCCTCTGTCTTCTGGAATAATTTGAGTAGAATTGGTGACAGCTCTTTCCTGAATGTTTGCCAGAACTCACCAGTGAAGCCATCTGGACCTGGACATTTTTTGGTTGGGAGTCTTTTGATGACCTGATCAATTTCTTCTTGTGTTATAGGTCTACTCGTGTTTTCTACTTCACTCTGTGTAAGTTTAGGTAGGTCGTGTTTATCTAAAAATGTATCCTACTCTTCTAAGTTTTCAAATTTGTTGGAGTTCAACTCATCATAGCATTCTGTTATTATCCTTTTGATTTCCTTTGGTTCTGCTGTGACATCACCCATGTGGTTTCTAATGCGTGTCATTTGTGTCTTCTCCCTCTTTTCTTTTTTAGGTTTGCCAATGGTCTATCAATTTTATTAATCCTTTCAAAGAACCAGCTTCCTGTCCTGTGGATTCTTTCTATAGTTTTTCAGTTTTCTATCTCATTTATTTCTGCTCCAATCTTTGTTATTTCTTTTCTTTTGGTGGCTGTAGGCTCCCTCTGTTGGTCTGTTTCTAATTGTTGTAGATGCTGTGTTAATGTGTTAATTT